ATTTACAGTACTTTCGTGATGTCCTGCTTTCTTATATAGTTGCCACCCCTACTTCTGGACTGTGCGTCTTAAACTTTGGTGTCTCGAACGCGTGCCGAAAAAACTCGAAAGTGGTTGGGGGAACCGTTTTCCTCGGTATTTACAGTACTTGTGCACACGACCCCGCTCTTACTCGGTATTTACAGTACTTTCGCACACAACCCCGAAGCTTTCTTCGGGGATGATCACGACACTGTTTCGCGGACACCCAACTATATCTCCACACCCTAGCGCGCACACCACACAGTACTTCAAACGCAATCCCTCCTACGCCGAGCTGGGGGTTTAGGGATGTTGGCGAGCTCCTTCCACGTACAGCTGGCATCTCTGTTTTTTGATGTTTATAAAATGTTGCGCTTCAGGTTTTAGGAGTGTTAAAACCTTCTTGGCAGCACTTGCGATTTGCACATTTACAACGTTTTCGTACTATCCGACCAGCTGTGGTTGAGCAGTTTTTTCCCCGTCGAGTTTGCAACACCAACTGCTGTCGCAGTTTTGGGGCCTGATCCTTTGCGACTTCACCGACTGTGACAGTTCAGGAAAGTGAGCCTTTGCAACTGCAACTTCTGCAGCCGTCACAGATAGGGAGCCTGAGCCCCTGCATCTTCTGCACTTGTCGCACTTCGGGAGCCTGGAAGCTGCCACCCAGCCCGGATGGAGCAAGTGTAGTTGGTACGGGCGGGGGGGGGCTAGTACTAGTAGTAGTAGGAGTAGTAGTAGTAGTAGTAGTAGTAGCAGTAGTAGTAGTAGTTGGTAGTTGGTAGTAGGCAGAAGTTAGTAGGTAGCAGCAGCAGTAGCAGGAGTAGTAGTAGTAGTAGTAGTAGTAGTAGTAGTAGTCGTAGTAGTAGTAGTAGTAGGAGGAGGAGGAGGAGGAGCGGCAGCTGCAGCAGTGGCCATAGCAGCCGCTGCCTGCACACCTCGTTTCGCATACTTCCTGTCACCACGCCCCACTTCTCTCGTTGCAGAGAGTGCCAGGTCCAGGTCGCAAGGTCTCGAAGACCAAGCACTTCAAAGGTAGCCCTAAATCCTAAAGCCTAGTAAGAAGAGAATGCTTGTCGCCAATTGAAAGGAGACCTTGTCTTCTTCGTGACCTGCCACATTAAGTTTAGTTCAGTTCTAGTCCGCAAAGTATCCGAGATGTCTGGACACCTCATGGCCTTGTTTGTAAAGATGGCCTGATGACCAGGATCTCGGATTCAGCTTCCGTACAGGTCGGCCTGACTCAATGGGTCAGTCGAGTTGGCTTGATGCACATCAAACGCAACCCTTTTCGGGTTTAGGGCAGACAGGTTACAGAGCGAGTTTTCAAGTGGATCTGTGGCGTGTTGCCTACCGCATGGGGTGCCACAGCGTCTGTAATGTGTCCCCTTGGCTACATGAGGCCGAAGTGAATCCTAAACCTTCCTAAACCCTAGAGCTCCGTGAAGACCTCCAGCGTGCTTCTTGAAAGGGACACGCAGGTTTGGCCTGATAGAAGCAACATGCCTGCACCTAGCTGCTCGTTTCTATGCTGCGAGTCTGGCAGAGACCCTGAAATGCTGCCGGTCGCGTCTCCGAAGTTACTACCTATACCCTAGATAGCCAATGGGAGAACTTTAAACTTTTTGGCCCTATATATGAGGTCTATCCTAAAAAGTTTGAACTTTCGTGGGCCTGGTTGTTGAAGAAGAAAGATACCCTAAGGGTCCATGTACTCAATCACTATATACGTTGGCTCCAACATACCTATATAGGGACTACTTTAAGGCCAACGTACATACTTGTTGGGCACATGGACTTTTAGGGATAGTCTCCAATGTAATTTCTTGTTGGGATTACCTTATAGGGTCCTAAGTTATAGGCCACAAGAAGGAATTACAATGGAGCCTATAGAGGCACATCCGGACACTCCAAGTTAAAGTCGGAACTTGATCAAGAAACTGTGGGTTCCACTTCTCCGGAACAAGAAGCAGGGCCTTTCAATAGGGTTCCTGCCGGTTTAGGGTTTAGGGTCAAGTAGTGTCTTGATGATCCCTAAACCCTAAACCCTAAACCCTAAACTTGGGATGTTCTTTTGAGCACCTAGCACACCCTAGCCAGGTGCTTTCGACAGTCGTCCTTGCAGGCGACATACTTGGGCCGTACAGGTACAATGTTGGGAGCTAGGATCAGGGGGACCCTTGGGGATATAGACCCTCTCAATAAGGCCCCTTTTAAGAGAGCCAAAAGTAGGGTTCAGAAGGGGTACCCTTTAAGGGGTACCCCCAATAATACTACCTAAATGTGGGAGTTTCTTGCAGTCACATGCACAGCCCTAAACCCTAAACCCAGATTCTACAGGTGCACAGACCCCGCTACAACAAGGCAGACCTTCCTATCACCCTACCTTAAGAACCCAAAACCTACTTTTTTGAAAGGTCCCTATAAATCCCATATTAGGGTTTATAATAAGAACCTACAAAAAAGTGGGTTGTGGGTTCTTAAGGCAAGCCTCAATCCTTCAACCCTACACCCCCAGCTCCAAGCCCAAACCACATGAGGCGTATAGGGTTCACCTTAACCCCAAATAACCTACCTGTTTCAAGGACTTGTATAAAGGAAGTCTTAGTAAGGAACCCTAGAAAAGGTAGGTTCTTTAGGGTCCAGGTAGGGCTTAGGAAACGTATAAAGGAGCCCAAAACCCCTATTCTAACTATTAAGGCCCCTACATTATCCTACTTATCAGCCTCGGGCCTCCCTAAACCCTAAACCCGAAACCCTAAACCCTAAAACAGTAGTGTAGGTCTCGCGAGGCTGGAATGGTCGTAAAGTCCGCTCCATTACACTTAAAAAAACCCTAAACCCCGCAGGACAAACAGGGCCGTCCCGCGCGCCCCAGCGCCAAAATCTCGGAGGCGTTCGAGCGCAACAAGGCATCGTGCGGACCTCAGCTCGGGGGAAGGAGGTGTTTTTTTTTTGTTGGTTTGGGTTTAGGGTTT